CACGCTAACTTGAAAGTACCCATTAATGGTTGAAAAAGACCCATTTTGAAGAAAAGTGGCTTAACTCATTAAATGAGTAAAATTTTTACCCATTAATGAGTATCTGTTACCCATTAATGAGTAATTGTTAATCATTAATGGGTAACAGATACTCATTAATGTGTAAAATTGTTTAATCATTAATGAGTTAAGCCACTTTTCTTCAAAATGGGTCTTTTTTTTTACTCATTAATGAGTACTTTCAAGTTAGCGTGTATGGATGTTGGATTAGGATTTTAGTGTTCGTGAGATTGCGCTTGGAGATCTCTATACTACTCATGCACAAAATTATACCCCATTCTATATGCGCGAGTGTTGGTGGCCCGAACGTAAGGATAATAATAACAAGCCACCATTTTGTGCTGGAGCAAAAGTGAGGATAACAAACTTTTCCCTTGAAAATGGGATTTCGCAAGTGTTTGTGTTATAAACGTCAGAAAGGTCCACCGGAAATAGGTTGCTCTATAGTAAAATCCAACCAATTACCGCCCACCCGTGGCGCTGTTGTCGTAGCGGTGATAAAAATGTAAACATCTGTCAAACGTGACTCATATCAGAATTTTCACTTTTTAAATTGAAAATTTGTCTTGTCTTGGTACGTTTTTGATGGTCAAAAAGCTTGTAGAATTGTAGGAAAAGTGTCCTTCTTCAAAGTGACAAATGACTACAATGATATCACTGCTTGCAATCAGGAAAATAGTTGAATTTTTAGACTACGTAAACACAAGCTCCACCGCCTAACATTCTCATTGTTGTTGCAGGATCGTTGCATTATCCCGGGATGCAAGGAGAACAAATTTCAACTTTTTCGAGTTCCAAATTCGGGGAGCAACAAATTCGTGCAGTGGAGAAAGGTTGCCACTGTTTACGGATCAGAAGAATATAAGTTCCAAAGTTTGTTGTCCCCCCGACAACATTAAATTTGAGATTAACTTCATGTGGCCGCTCCCCGGGATAGGAACTTTGCAGAACAAATCCATTCCCCTCAATTCTTGCTTTGCTGCTGATCTACTGGTGTAGCCCAGGCACACAATATGCTAGGTCTCTAAATTCGCTAGCACGGAGTCCCCAACATCATCCAGCAGACTGATTCGGACGTCGATTTCAATCATACAAAACATAACCTAAATAATATCGGTTTATCAAAAAACACATTTTCATTATCCTTCAATGACATTGAAATGAAAATTAATATAACATTACATTATTCGACAAATTTCCTACATGCATAATCCAAAGGGGCCTCCCTTAGCTCAGTCGGTAAAGGCGCAGCTACAAAGCAAGACCATGCTGGAGGTGGCTGGGTTCAATTCCCGGTCCGGTCTAGGAATTTTTCGGGTTGGAAAACTTCTCGACTTCCCTGGGCATAGAAGTATGATTGGACTTGCCACACAATTATACCAATGCAAAAATGGTACAGGCATCGAAAGCTCTCAATTAATAACTGTGGAAGTGCATCTAGAACACTAAGTTGAGAGCACGCAATAAGCTAATATGCGATATGCAATAAGCTTGAAATGCGAAGAAGTAGAAGAAGAAGATAATCCAAAGAATTGCTCGTATCTCACTATTTTGAACTCTTTTTTCAATAATGTATCACTCAAACTCTGGAATTTAAACCGGCTGCCATAAATTTATCCCCATCGACTAGTACTATTTCCCGCCACTAGTGACGCATAAATTTCACTTGGATTCTACTATAGAAATATAAACAAAACACTGTCCAAGATTTTCGATTCCCAACGCAAGAGGCGTGCTAGCGGCGCGCGAGGGGCGTACTTATTTACATTTAGGCAGTCTTTATGTGTGTAAGCTTTTATTTGTATAAATCCAGTTCACAAAGGCAATTGCACTTTATTTAAATATTGGCATTATTGACCAAATTGCGAATATTTAGATTATTCAACCTCAACTCCATATCTGAACTTTCAAAATCTTCTGCAGGTATTAAAACTCACCTTTTCAATGTTTTGCTGGATGAATTAGAAAGGATGGGTCCAAAGTACACATAACATAAAACGAAACAAATAAATAAAGCCGAAAAGACAAATGGCTAAATTATTATCTAAATTTGAGGACGATGAAATTAAAATCGCTTTAGTTTAAATAAAGACATATTTTTGGGATAATGGAATACCATTTTTTTATCATTTTTTTAATCTGATTTAGTAAAAATTCAAGGGAGCAGGGCTGGGTTACTGTGCAATCTGTCAACGTCAACATAAAAAGGCGATTTTATTAGCGCGCCATAGCAGAGTCGTAGTACGCAGGAACACGCAACGGCTCGGCGATGAAAAATCTCAACGAAAAGAAAATAAAGCAAGCTTTTAATCAACTTCCTGGTTTAGCGATAGCGTAGACGCGTCTGCTTGGCTCTGAAGTTGAGCTCTAACTGTTTCCTATATATGCACAGAGGCATGAGAAAGGGATATTTATCTATCAAATAACAGATTATAAACTAAGAAATAGATAACTTTTATTGAAAATCAAAATACAACGACGTCAGATACTATTCACCGTTATCTTTTCTAACCCATCTAAATCTGTTGTATTTACGATCTCCGTTCGACAACGGGTAAGAAGAATTGCATGCTTCTTCATCATTGTTTCTTCGTGTACTTCGGTGATCATCATAGCTATCGTGATCCCTCCAGCCGTTGCTACTCGGACGATTATACTCCCTATAGTTTCTATAGGGACGGCGATCATCATGGGCAAAATTGTCTCTCCAATTGTTAGGGCGATCATCACGGGTTGGACCGTCTCTCCAATTATTAAAGCGTTCACGATAAGCATTAGCACTACCACAATAATATCCATTGTGATTCTCTCGCGATCGATCCCGTCTATGATTATCAGCCCGGCGATCATACCTACTTCTCTGATCTCTGTATCCACTCCGAGAATCTCTGGTTTCATGAGTATCATCTTGATCGTCATGAGCTTTGTAACTTAATGGAATTAATCCAATCAAAGAGTTCAGGTAGTTGGCTCTCTCCATTGAATGAGCTCGTGCTTCGTTGAATGCTAGTTCGAATCGAAAGAAGAAAACAAAATGTGTAGGTAGAAGGAAAAAAACAGCAAAACTCCCTAACACTTACAGTGGATAGCAGATTTGGGAGCCTGACCTTGTATGAGAATCATGTAAGCGCATACAAAGTATCCGGTTCGATTCAATCCGTGAGTACAGTGAACGCCTATTAGTTTATCTGGAATGCAAAAACGTTTAATCACAGTACAGAAAATATTGATTTTTTTTTTTTAATTTTAGAACATAATTTAAGCACACAATAGAAAGTGTTATGGTGAAACATATCCTTGTGCGCTCATTTTATCATTTCAACCAAAATTCACTCAATAATAATACAACCGCCTGTCATATTGTAATTACCTTTATTCTGTTCATCTCCCAAAAAATCATTCACGGTACGGATGAATCTGCAATGAAAATAATAAAAGAAATTGGTACGTCTATAGAAGAGACTGGACACAAGCCCCGGACACTCTGTTTTCAAAATCCTGAGCAGTTTTCTATAGGTAAGTTTCGTCTAGACGGAAGGTTATGTTATGGTGACATTTGCGCCAGATTGTGGAACTTATATATTTTTGAGAGCTGTATACTTCGTTGAACGCATAATTGAGCTAAACCAACAGCTGAGCGTGGTTTATTCTGAGTGAAGTAGGTAGTGTGATTTTATCCATGCTGAGCCGTTTACAATTGCATTCGTTAACGGTTGAGAGCTGTTTTATTGTCTAGTTTTACATAACTTTAAACATTTATATTGGTATTAACCTGGAGGAAAGTTTTACATTGTGATGAAAATAATTAGAGTGTTACACAAATAAATAACTGAGCCAAAAAACATCTCACTCGTGGTCACTTGGTTGGAAAATGTTACGCTTGTTCAGAAATCTGCCAGTGATTGCTATTTTGTTTCTGCGGTACTCGCACGAATTAAATGAATTTTCCAATGCTTGCCACCAGGTTGAAACATAATTTGAAAGTTGTACCAAAAGAAACTTGAAAAGGTTGATTGATTATTGCAAATTTTTAATTGTTTATTATTGTTGTTACTTTAACACTACAGGATCATTCGTGACTTGTCTGGAGATGATGTTTGAATTCATGACTTTGGAGTGGGATGATAACCACTACGCCGGGACCGTCCCCAACCGTAGGCAAATTTTGATGGTTGTTGAATATTTGTAATTTTTTTTTAACATTTCGTCTTAGGATCATTGTAAAAATGTACGAATGTGCAGATTCTAAAAATGCATGATTTTTATGTAAACTTAAAGGGTGCTCCTCTTGCCCCGTCTACCCCTATTCTGAAAATAATTGACGAAATAAATTCGAACTGGAAAGAATTTCTCAACACCTGACAAAACTCTGTCTATGATTAATTTTTCAATCTATTCAATAAAGTCATCCAGCGTGAAATATTGCATCTCGCAGAGACATTAATATTTTCACATTTTTACCATGCATCAACCCATACACTAGTGCAGATTTGCATAAAGCGATGAAACTATAACCGATCGATTTGCCTAGATCCGATGTGGTGTGCTGGTAAATGCCATGAAAGCACAAACACCGCATGCACTTTTCTGTCACTAGCACGAGCCGCGTCTCTTGGATCTCAAAATCAATAGCGATTATAAATAAATTTAAATAAAACATTTTAGCTGTCTCGGAGCTATCTGCTTTTTTACGCACAACGGCCTGCCGATGATGGTTCAAAGAATGGTGAGATGGACATGGCAAACAACGAGATTGCTATCTGTGCGTCGCAAGAGTTCTTCTATCGCCTAAAAGGATTTCCAGCACAGCTTGCCGTTTTTGATATACTCTTGGTGAATGATTTATTTTCTCCGTTCTAACAAAACGGCATACCCATTAGTTTCTGCCGAAGCATATATCACTGCATCAGCATGCGCGAATCCATGCCATTCGCCGTCTATAATTTATATCTTTAACCGATACTTGTACGTCCCCGCCAGCCAAACATGGCCTGAAACTGCTCTGTGAGCCTACGGACGAATCAGTGTGGCTTCAGTTTGAGGAATAGCCAGAAACAGCATTTACATCATGTAAATACATGCGTACACTAAATTGAGCATTTGCCTGCGAAAAGAGCGCGAGGTTCGTGCTGAAACTTATGATAAATGTTCTTATTACTTGCTGTGTACATCATTCTTGCAGAATATACCAGTTAGTCAATAGATAAGCAACAGAAAAAGTAATCGTAAGGATTCAAAACTTACTGGTTCACCAGTGATCTTTTGGGAACCTCATGTCCTTTTGTCAAAATCTTCTTGTGCTGAACATTGTGATGCAAGAATTCCTGTGAAAAAAACGAATATAAAAAGGAACCCCTAAATTATTGAGCACTTGTACATCGGAAATGCATAGTATTACTGATGGATTGTAATATTTAGATGTGAACGTTAGGTCTATCACCATTCCTAGACCAGGAATTTCCTGAACCGCATCATCGGGTGTAAAGCTTTCCTCCATGCGTTTGGTGAAATATTTCTGTAAATGTAGAAAAAACGAAATAACACGGTAATTTAAATGCAAATGATAATGCTAAAAGAGTTATTTAAAAAAGATGAATATATCATGATGAACCAAACTAAGCCAAATGTTCAACATTTCGGACACGTTCAAACATCATGATTCCGCAGCTGAATTCCGGGCATAAATTTCATCGAAGAGAAATAAATTTCTACATATATGTACCTCATATGGAGAAATTTATTTCTCTTCGATAAAATTTTTTCCCGGAATTCAGCTGCAGAATTTAAAACAAAATCAATATTGCGTGACAGCTTAGTTTTCAAGACTTGACCCATTGAATAAATTTTGCTTCTATCTTTGAAAATACAGCATAAGGACTAGCCTATGTTGGCAGCTTGAACACTGGATTCCGTTTTTATTGTTTCAAGATAGTTATGGAAAAAAATGCTGTGACGTTTGCGCGTAGATACATCCGCGTAGTAAACCGATTGAATAAGTAAATCCGTTTCGAACGAAACATCTAAATTACGTAAGATACGAAAATCGCGCAAATTACGAACGCCGCGCGAGACAACCGTAGAGAAAAATAAATTTATTATCACTTAAAGAGTGCCACCAAAATAAATGTGATAGCCTATGTTGGCAAGTTGATTAGTTTTGGTTTCCTCCCTAGATATTCTACTTATTTTACTATTAAGCTTTGTTTCAATTTATTTATTTTACCGCACGTATCAATCATTTCAAAATTTCGCGACCGTACCGAACAAATTCTAAACTACATAAACTCAAAACACTTTTGACAAGCTCTACCAAATTGCGAATCACTTCTGCGTAAGCTCCGTAGACGTAGGCGCGTTGAATCCCACAGCCGCAAAAAGTTAAACATGCATCGATGCGTCAATACCACATAAGAAAAGATCAATATTACAGTCACGTAGGGTTTAGTTCATAGATTAACATTGACTGCTGTTTACAAATGTAAGTACTTGAACACTAAGAAATAAGTTAACTCAAATGCTTTAACCGCATATATCAGAGATTTCGCGTATTGAGAAATAATATAGTTATCGAGTACAATAAACTCAGGAGAAAACAATACCTACAAAAGATTAAAAGTTATTAAATGTCACATACCTCTACTTTTACTTCTTTCCTAAACTATTCCTCTCCTTGTGAATTTGCTAAATGCTATTGGTTTGCTTGCGTTTTCTTATTGAAGTTCAAGACTTAATAGAAAGACTTATTCTACAACTTTAGAGGTTAGTTGCCTCCCTAAGCGGAACCCCGCAGCCTAATTCTTTTGTTAACCTAATGTTATTAGATTTTCTGATTTTTTTTTTATTTACGTTCCTTTGATGATGATGATATTTAATTAGTCTAATTTAATAAATTATTGAAATCTCTAATTCACCTAATCAATCATAACCCATGCTTTATTAAGTACCTGCACTTGTGGTTGTAATCTAAAATTAAACGTGTTTCAAGTACTTTTGATTTTGACCTATACCTATTTATTATATCTTAGTTCGACCCAAGTGACACCTTCAAGTGACTAAAATGCTTCACTTTGAAGTTAGTTTCTTAGCTGATTTTTAAATTATATAGGGTATATACTCCAACTGTGCTCACACGCTTCCACTATGTCGCACCATAAAAATACGTATGAGTATGTCACAATAGAAACATGCCACAGTGGAAATCCCGAGCGATAGTTCAAACACATATCCCAGATCAAAAAGAAGCACATATAAGATTAGTTACAAGCGGCGCCGGTGGTGTAGTGGTAAGCGTGATAAACTCTCCCCCCAGCAGGCCTGGGTTCAATCCCAGTCGGCGCCGCCGGGATGTTCTGAGGCATAACATCTCTGATCACGCCTTCCTTCGGGGAAGAGAAGGGAAGTAAAGCCGTTGGTCCTCGGTTAATGAGTTGATGGGTCGATAGGTAGGGTCCAGGTGTGGGAGCTGCATCCCTGGTGTCGATAGCATTGGTGCTCAGCACGGAAAACAAGATCAACGGAAAACAAATCAAGGAAAAATAAAAGATTAGTTACAATACCATGTACATTGGACAAGGTTACCAGGACGCTGATCACATCCTTTGGTCTTGTGCGGAGTATCGTGGAGTCAGATCACATTTTTATGATTCCCTTCGGGCTCGAGGTAGACAACCTAATGTTCCAGTTCGGGATATTTTGGCTAGACGCGATCTGGAGTTTATGAAACTCATATATGTTTACTTTAAGGATATTAACCTTAGATTGTAAGTTTGATTAACCTTGTGTTTAGTTTGTATTTTGTACGTGTGGGGTTTTTTTTTTTTCAATGTTTGTTTTCAAGATGAATAGAAATAATTTCATGCTTTAGGATTAATTAAATAATTGTATCGTAAACCACATTTCAAACCTCCTTCTTCCCTTTTCCCATCCAAAAAATTGTAAATCTCCACTAACCTCGAGACAACCGCGAGTACTCGGTCCAGTTCCTTTAACTTTAAATTTAAGACAGTAATAATGTATAACGCAAATGATAATTCGGCTCTGTAAAGTTTATTCGATTGAGCCTGTACAAATAAAGTAATTATAAAAAAAAAAAATACCATGTACAAAAATGGTGTTTAACATTGTTCCCTCAATGAAAACAACAATGAAAGCTTGTCACGCAAATAGAAGGAGCACTGATGGGCACTTTCTGAAATATTTCAATAGTATAATTTTCTTGCAAACCCAAATAAATCTATCTGCGTAAAAATAAATAAAATAAGATTGATTTGCGGCAAAACCCGCCAGTATCGCACCCAACGTCAGTGCCTATACGTAAGGAGTAACAAGTGTGATACTATCACTGCTAGACTAAATCTTTGGTTTGCTCATGCAGTGGTTCATCAGAGAGGGGAAGCTTAGTAATCCCCATCGCCTGCCCATGGCGCCATTCTATCGCGGTATTAGTCAGCAACGCCGGCCATAAACCTACCGTCTCCAACACTCCACTATAAAGCATGAAATTAAGCCCGCCCACCAACAGCAAGGTGCAAAAACTAGCCAAGGGGAGGGAAAATCAAGATTCAGATATTTTGAAAACAAAAATTGATGCTTAGGAGAGGTTTCAAGTTACCGGACTAAGAAAAATCTGGAATGTGGATTTAAAATTTGTTCATCATTCTGGTTTTTGAAAATGGGAGATCTTAAATCAATATTCTAGATGAACAGCAATTTTCTGTAACATCAGAATTTTTGTTGATCGTTTGATTTATTATAGGGGAAACGCTCCTATAGTTGCGGTACGTTAGAAGTGTTGGGTTCCTATAGTTGTGTATGGAGACTCAATACACAACTATAGGAACCTAACGCATCTAATGTACCGCATCTAACGTACCGTTTACCCTAATCACTTTAACACTTTTTAGCTAACTTGTGACTTGTTCATAATTGAGATCTGAACTCGTGGTTTTTAGTGTGAAAGGCAGTTGCAACCACTATGCTATAAAAAGTTTTCAATGATAAAATAATTTAAAATTTTCAACATATAAAATAATTTGCGATATCCATAACTTAGTGAAAATTTAAAATCCTAGACATGATTTTTGTATAGCTCTGAGAAATGATTTCTTTAGAAAATGTTTATCCTCCTCAGGATTTTACTTCCCCTTTCTTTTCGAAACCTGGTCACACCCTTACAAGTAGAGAAAATCTCCAACTCGATAAAAATCCTCAATTGGACAGGGAAACACATGATGACTTTAATGACCGCGATCGACCGGTCGCTTCAAGAGTTCAACAAGTCAAAACCCCTTCTGTTCGCTTTAGTTCGGAGTCTTGTAGCAAAACTCTTTTTTTGTGTTTGTAGTAGTTGTTGCTCAAGCTGAAATTTTTATTAGGTTAGTTTTATGAACAATAGTTGTAATTTAAATCCACTTACATTTTAGTCTCCGCTTAGTTTTAAGCGAACAAATATTATTTTATAAGTAGACTTAGGTATAAATACTGTAATTCCAATAATTAAGTTAATTTTAAGTAAAGTATACATATAGAAAATCTTACGAAGAACTAATCGTGGAATATCATTCACTCTGTACGAAATGCAAGCTTTTAGTCTGTCATCGCTACATCTTCATGACATGACATGGCTGTCATCTAAACGTCACCGCGGTCATCTGCGAGACGTTGGTTATTGGTTCCAACTGCTCCGCAATGACTCTCCTTCGCTTACAGGCTGCTTTATCGGTTGTTGTACTCCAGTTGAACTTAACAGCAGGAAGTGATTTGGGGTTATTGCTTCCTGGTCTGACGTCTGCAGCGAAACGAAGGTCAAAGGCCGAGAGTTGATCATTTTTTTCCGCTTCTGCAAAGACTGTCACCAGCGATTCGTCATCCAGCTTACGTTCCGTGGGAACCATGACCAAAGCCGACTTGATGGACCGAACCACCCGTTCCCAGCAGCCTCCCATGTGTGGTGCTGAGGGTGGATTGAACCTCCACTGCGTATATGTGTCCGTGAAGGTACTGCTTAACATCGCATTGATTCCCTCGATTTCCCTTTTCAGCTCCCGGCTGACCCCGACAAAATTGGTACCGTTGTCGGAGTAGACCTCTTGAGGGGCTCCTCGTCGCGCAATGAACCTGCGCATTGCTTTTTTGCACGAATCAGATGACAGGCTGCTTGCTATCTCGATGTGTATGGCTCTAATAGTCAAGCACGTGAATACCACACCCCAACATTTAGCTACGCTCCGACCAATTTTTACCAAGTACGGCCCGAAATAATCGACCCCGATGAAAGTGAAGGCACGTACATGCGGCGTTAATCTTACCGTTGGTAGCGGTCCCATCTTCGGTGCCACTGGAACGGACTTGTACACTCGACACCACATGCATCGAGTCTTCGTCAGGCGTACGCGTGTCCTGAACTGAAATATGCAAAATCTTTGGCGAATTTCGTTCACCACTGTTTCATCGTTGGCATGACGAAAGTCACGATGATACCAATCCAGCAGCAATCCATGATCGGGTATGTTGCAT